GTTCCTGAGCTCCCTGGCTCGCGCAGGAGCTCCCAAGTTTTCTCCTCTTAAGTTGCACTGTTTTTTAATTTTTTTTAAGTTTGGCTTTGTTTTTCTCCTTTTGTTATTTCATTTGTTTGTTTTTTGTTTATTCTTTCTCTTCCTCCTTTCTCTCTTTTCATTTCCTTGAATTTTATCCTATCTCACTTTTGTTTTTCCCTTTTTCCTTGTTTATCAATTCAACTTTTCTTTTTATGCTCCCCTTTGATCTTTCTTTACTACTCTTCAATCTCTCTTTTTTTCTTCTCTCTCCCTGTTTTTCTTAAGTGTGTGCATGTTCTTATTTCTTCCCTTTAGTTTTTCTCTTATACACATCCATTTTCCTGTTCCTCTTTTATCTTTATAGTTATTTTAAAGTTTCCCCCCTCAATTTCTTCCTTTTATTTTCTCTCCTATACCTCCATTTCTCTGTCCCTCTTTTTTTTTTTTTCCCCCCTCCTGTCCCTCTTTTGTCTTTATAGTTTTATATTCTTTTTTCTGGTTGCTACCTGCTTAATTTTTAAATTATTTTCCCTTACATTGTTGGTACCTTGTTTGTTTATTCTGTTTAGTTTTCTTGTGTATGTGTGTGTATACAGGGGCTTTCTCTTTCTCACCAGAAAAGAGACAGCAATCATACCCATATAGTCCCGTCACAACCATACCCTCTGCAGCTCCACCCACTGGGCAAGAACCAGTAACAGCTCCTATACCATCTAATCAACGATAGCAGCTAAAAGAGCCCAAACAACCATAAAGTGAGGTGCACGAACAAGAAAGGAAAACAGTGTATATACTTCCATCCTCTAACTATGCCTACAGGAGATACTTGGTGAGAGGATAAGAACACACCAACATACAACCATCAACTAAATACAATTACAACAATCCCATAATGCCCTGGAGACAACAGACAATTTAGCTCACACAAAGAAATGAGAATGGCTCAAGCTGCAAAACCAGAAAACGTTTGTTTCCAAGGAAGAAAAGGTAATGGAACTAACTGGAAAACAATTTAAAAGAATGGTATTTAGGTACTTTTAAAGGACTGAGAGAAAGGTCAAGGAAAGCAAGGAGAACACAGAAAAAGCTTTAGAATTCAGGAAAATATTACGAGAACAGACAGGCAAAATAAATGCAAAATTTTAAACAACACAAAACCTTTAATTAGAGATTCAGAATATTAACAGATACTAAGATTTCAGAAATGGACAGTGCATTGAAAAGGCAAAGGAGTAGATTCGGAGCAATGGAAGCCTGGATTAGTGAGTCTGAAAATAAATCTCTCAACATTAGTATGTTAGAAGAATAATCAGAAAAATCGAAAGAAAGCCTAATAGTTATGTGGGACACCATGAAGAGGAATAACATATGGGTGATTGGAATTCTAGAACAGGAAAAGACAATAAAAAGCAGAGAAAATTGTTGAGGAGTTGTTGGAAGAAACCTTCCCTAGCATCATGAAAAACAAGAAGCTTAATGAACCTCAAGCAGGACCTATTCCAAAAGAAAATCACCAAGACATATCATAACCAAACTTTTCAAAATGAAAGACAGAGTTCTGACAGCAGCTTGGAAAAAAACAACAACTTATCTACAAAAGAGAACCAGTAAGACTAAGGTCTGATTTCTTAGCAGAAACCAGGACAGTACGAAGGCAAATGGAATGACATACAAAAGTCTGAAGGCAAAATATTACCAACCAAGAATCATATATCCAGCAAAGTTGTCCCTAAAATACAATGATGAAATTAGGACATTTCCTTATAAACAGAAATTAAAGGAATTTGTAATGACTAGACCAACTTTAAGGACTCTGGTAGCATAGTGGGTTATGAGTTGGGGTTCTAACTGCAAGGTCAGCAGTTCGAATCTACCAGCCACTCTGTGAGAGAAAGATGAGGCTTTGCCCCTGTAAAGATTTACAGCCTCAGAAACCCTATATATTGTCTCAGTGAGTTCAAACTGACTCCACAGCATATAACTACCACCAACATCAGACCAACATTACAAAAAATGATATTCTTTAGACTGAGAACCAACAACAGAAGATTATCATACATAAGATTACCATACATGACAATACTACCCAGAACTCAATCCCAATAGGTTGTTGTTGTTGTGAAGCGCCGTTGAGTCAATTCCGACCCATAGCGACCCTGTATAGGGTTTCCAAGGAGCAGCTAGTGAGCTTGAACCACTGATGTTGCAGTTCAATTGACTTTGCAGTCTGATGCATTAGCCCACAGCACCACACCAGGAACATTTAAAATGATACAAACTACGAGACTGGGAAACAGAGATATCAATGTAAAATGAAGTCAACTACAAAGCAAAAAGAGGGAATAGTGTAGATATAGAATTTACAAATTGTGAGGGAATCAAGCAGATTTCAAGATAAAACAGACTGTTTAGATAGGAAATAAAATAATAAATTACAGGATAACCTTAAAGAAAATTAATACATCTGCACATCAAAATAAAGAGGAAAATCAGAAAGATTTAGTAAACATTAACGTAACAGAAACGTAAATGAAAACAAAACCCACAAACAAAATGAATGCCGTGCAGATAATTATGTGGAGCAAAGAAACCAGCAGCATCACACCAAAAAACAAACAAACAACAAAGCAAAATGACAGGAATCAATTCATACTATCAACAATTACACTGAATGTAAATGGATTAAATATACCTGTCAAGAGACAGAGCAGAACAGATAGAAAATAGGATTCTTCAACATGCTGTTTAAAAGAGACACATCAAAAAGATGGAGACAGCCTAAATGCCCATCAACAGAAGACTGGCTAAACAAACTTTGTTACATACACACAATAGAATACTATACAACACTGAAATAACGAAGGATCTGGGTAAACACCTCACAACATGGATGAACCTACAGGATATTAGGCTGAGTGAAATTAGTCAATCACAAAAGGACAAACATTATATTTCTTTTATTAAGAAAAGGGTTTTCTTAATAAAAGAAACAATCTATGATGGTTATGGAAAATTATTCAATGAGGTGATGGTACAGTTATCCAAGATAAGGAACAGAAGTGGAAAACTGACTTTAGGGAGAGAGATCATGAGTTTAGCTTTAGACCAGTTGGACTGGTCTAAAGTACATTCAGGGAGTCTGTAGGAAATGCTAATCTGGAACTCAGAGGAGACGTCTGGTTTATAATCAAATCATGAATGATCCTTGTGTGGGTGACATATGAAAAAAACATGGCTGGGGAATGGGTAGAGGGAGAAGAGAACCCAGGAGTTGAGGGGTGTATGGGAAAGAAGGAACTGTCCAAACATAAACAGTTGAGGAGGAGTAATCAGAGGAAAAATTTTGAAGTGTACATACATATAAGACTATTTTCTACTTGCATTGTTTTAAGTGCAGAATAACAAATATTAGCTATCCTTTACTGAGTATTTACTAGCCGGCAAAGTGCTAAGTGCTTTATATGTATTATTTCAGACACTTTCAGTATTAAGCATTCAATTAAATAAATATTACATTAAAGATACCATGCAATGTAGGTAAAAACCTCCATTACTTTTTATAAACTAAATTCAAAACATGTTTCATTTGCATTGAATTTGGTATCTCTTATACCACACTCCTTATTTATTTATTTTTATGAATTTATTCTTTATCTCCCCAATTCACCGTAAATCTTTTGAGAGCAAGAGCTAAGTTTCATTCCAGGAGTGATTATATAAAGTTCCAAACCTTTAGATAACTAACAAGGTTGACCACTGACCAAGGGTTTCTTTGGCAGGTTATAACTTTTTCAGTGTGACTTTTGCTGCTGATAGAATTTAGAATTTCTCTTTTGGGCCTACCTTTAGAATTTGTTAATCATCAACACACAGATCATTCTTGCCTTGATTATCCACTTCATCTCCAAATTCACTCTAAACTTTCTAGTTTTTCCAAAAAAAGGGAGGGGGGAAGTCTCCCCTCAAGAATGATTTGTTATTAATGGAGATATCTAAGAGAACTTGGAGTAAGAGCAGCTTCCAACACAGACAACACTCAGGTAGAATGTAAAAATGCCAGCTTACTTGTTCAAAATGCAAATTGCAGTATTTTGTGGGTCACACCTCCTATATAACACACCGCTATGTGCTAAGCTACACGCATCACCTTTTTTTGAAGACAATTCTATCCTCATTATAATGTGGCCTTTGGGTGGTAAGTACCAGTACTAACAAACTTTTACATTTTAATAGGATTTATAAGGAAAAGTGAAAGCTTCAGAGAGCTGGGGAGATACAGGCTGAGTACTGGGAACTGAGCGGGGTGAGGCTGGTTGTGATGGCGATGGTGCGGTATCCTCAGGCAGAGTGCTCATTACGCTCTGGAAGCAAACAAATGAAGGCTGTCATCTCCCATTAGCATCCTCTGATGCACTCTATAGAACCATATGGAGTTTGTGCAGGCGAAAGAAATTATGGGTTCACATGGGTGAAGTTTCCTTGGAACAAGTCACGCATGGAAATAACTTACCTTTTCTCAATAGCAGCTATTCAAGATATACTACTGTGGACTACAAAGGATTTGGGAGTTTCATGGAAAAAGACGGTCATCAAGTTGTGTGTCAAACTATCTTGAATTTTCCTTATGGTTCTAGGAAAAGCAGAATGCTAAACCCTGGGCTATTGATGTACTGCTAGACTTGGGGGAAAAAAATCCATTTCCTCAGAAGACACATTTAATGAGGCAACTGGGGTCTAAGGTGATAAATTAGAAATTCAACCAAGGGCATCAGGCTTAGAGGAAAAAGCAGGAGCTTGATGAAAAATGCAAGCAGAGAGAATGAAATGTTTTTCTGTAAAATGTTCATCTTCATGCTGACATCTATGCTTGTTGATCATTTCGACTATGACTGCTAGTTTTTAATGTCATTCATCTGGGACTCTACTACATTTGTTCTGGGATACTTGAAACAAAGAATAAAAGATCCTGGAAGGCTTACCTTGCCATCTTCTGTGTAGACATTTTCAGTATATCCCTTTACTATTGTTCGATCAATGAACAGGCTCCGCATGACGACAATCACTTTCAACACTTTCCCCAAGGTCACCTGCCAAAACACATACATGAATACATGAAAGCTTACATTTGCACATGCAATTCACATGATGTTGGGCAAAACTATAAGAAGAAATGATCATTTATCTGTGCCTAAAAGAGGCACCAAAGGACATTTTGAGAGAGGGCATGGCATTCCCCCTTATGCTATCATCCTAAGCTCAACAAGGGAAAGTTCTTCATATGAGGGGGCTTCAAACAGTTTGTGGAAACACATTCATTATCATTTCATTCCCACTTTTTTCTTAAACTTTTTACTGTGAATGATCAAAGGTTTACAGGCAAGGTCATCAGCTTTACATTCAACGAATCATACTTTGTTTCATCTCAATGAGTACAATCCCCTCCACGCAACAACAGTTATCCCACTTCCTCCCAGTGGTTTCCCATTTACATCTTATATTTCACAAATGAACAAAGCAAACATATTTAATGCACACCTATAAAACAAAAAATATATTCATTTAAATGTCCAAAGGGCACATTTAAATGAATGCTTCCCTGTCTCTCCATGCCACAACCTCTGCCACCATCTCTGCTGTTGCTGCTTTTCTAGGTAGAATTTCCACTAACTTTTTGAAGCCCTTTGTAAAATTCCTTCAAGATGTAGTGAGTCCCAATTCAACTATCTACCCTCAATTTACTTATATTTTTGTATTTCACATGTTTACTGTCTGCTAAATAATGCAAAAAAAAAAAAAATTCCTTTTGAAAAATCCTGTCATAAGATTCCTTCCTGTAAGTATATTCTGTAATTATGGCATTCTAAGATTTAGTAAGCACATTTACTTTCATGTTATGTCTTGGTCCAATATATACCCATGAACGATTCTACAATATAGATATAGAGAAAGTATAAGACATGGCAATAACAAATACCCTCTGGTTGAACCGTACATTTATCACAGCTGATATTAACCAATAAAGCAATACCAAATAAAATGACTTAACAGAGAGGAGCTGAATTTTCCACCACCTGTCTGTCAATTTAACAATGGTCGCTTGTGTGTTACCGTGATACTAGAAATTCTGCCACTGATACTTTAAATACCGGCGGGTTCATCCATGATAGACAGTTTTCAGTGGAGCTTCCAAACTAAGAGAGATTAGGAAGAAGGACCTGGTGATTTACTTCTAAAGAAACTGGCTAATGAAAACCTTATGAATAGTAGTGAAATTGTCTGATACAGTGCTGGAAGACGGCACTCAAAATACGACTGGAAAAGAGCTGCCTCAAAGTAGAGTTGACCTTATTGATGAGGATGAAGTAAAGTTTTCAGGACCTTCATTTGCTGATATGGCATGACTCAAAATGACAAGAAACAAGTGTAAACATTCATTAGTAAATGTAACATAAAATGAATGAACTATGAATCAACAAAAATTGGAAATTGCCAAAAATGAAATGGATTACTTGAGGATCAACATCCTAGCTGTTAGTGAAGTAAAATGGAATGGTATTGACTATTTTGAACTGGACAATCATATGGTCTGCTAAACTTGGAATGACTTATTGAAGAGGAATGGGTATTCAGCATCAAAAAGAACATGTCAAGATCTATGCTGACAGTGATACATATACAAGACCAGTTAATATGACTATTATTCAAATTTATCCATTAGCTACTAATGCCAAAGATGAAGAAATGGAAGATTATTACCAACTTCTGCAGTCTAAAATCGATCAAACATGCAATTAAGATGCATTGACAATTAATGGTGATTAGAACGCACATGTTAGAAACAAAGATTGTTGTTAAGTGAATCAAGTTGATTCTGACTCATAGCAACCCTGCAAAGGACTTCTGAGGAGTAGTTGGTGGGTTTGAACTGTCAACCCCATGGTTAGCAGTCCAGTGCTGATCCTAGAGCTCCACACCAGGACTACTGAAACAAAGATTAGTAGTTGGAAAATATGATCTTGGTGATAGAAATTATTCTGGAAATAGTATGATAGAATTTTGCAAGACCAACAACGTATTACCTATGTTGTTGTTGTTGTCAGGTGCCATCGAGTCGGAACCGGCTCATAGCGACCCCATGCACAGCAGAACGAAACAATGTCTGATCCTGGGACAACCTCACTACCGCCGCCACATTTGACGCCACTACAGATACCTTTTATTAACAACACACATATGTGGACCTCACTAGACAGACTATACAGGGATCAAATTGACTATATCATGGAATGAGATGATGAAGCTTAGTATTATCAGTCAGAACATGACCAGGGGCCTATTATGGAATAGTTACTCATATGTTCAAGTTGAAGGTGAAGACATTTTTAATTAAAAAAAGAAAGAAAAAGTTTTAAGTCCACGGGAGCTGAAGAATGACCTTGAACATATCTCACCTGAATTCAGAGACCATCTTAAGAACAGATTTGATGCCCTGAACACTAATGACTGAAGACCCGATGAATTGTGGGACGACATCAAGGACATCAGACATGAAGAAAGCAAAAGGTCATTAAAAAGACAGGAAAGAAAGAAAACACCAAAATGATTATCGGAAGAGACTCCTGAAACTTGCTCTTGAGTACAGAGTAGCTAAAGTGAATGGAAGAAATGCTGAAGTAAAAGAACTGAACAAAAGATTTCAAAGGGTGGTTCAAGAAGACAAAGAAAAATATTATAATGAAATGTGCTCAAAGACCTTGAGTTAGAAAAGCAAAAGGGAAAAATATGCTTAGTATTTCTCAAGCTAAAAGAACTGATGAAAAAATGTAAGACTCACGTTTGAATACTGAAGGATTCTATGGGTAAAACCCCGACAAAGAACCCAAAGTTGAAAGATGTACGAAGCATCAGACGAAAATGGAGGGAACAAAGAGAATTATTGTGCCAAAAAGAATTGGTTGACATTCAACCATTTCAGGACATTGATCAAGAACCAATGGTACGGAAGGAGGAAGTTCAAGATATACAGAATGCACTGATAAAATGCAAGGTTCCAGGAATTGATGGAATGTCATTAAGATGTTTAACTGATACAATGCTGGAAATGCTCATGTGTCTCTGCCAAGAAATTTGGAAGATGGCTATTTGGCCCATCTTCTGGAAGAGATCCATATTTATTCCAAATAAAAGTGATCCAATGAAATGTGGACATTATCAAATAATATCATTAATATCACATGCAAGTAAATTTTTGCTGAAGAGAATTCAAAATGGTTGCAGCAGTACATACACAGGGGTTACCAGAAATTCAATTCTGATTCAAGAGGATGTGAAATGAGAGATAGCAATGCTGATGCCAGAAGAATCTTGGCTGAAAACAGAATATCAGAAAGATGTTTACCAGTATTTTATTGACTAGACAAAGGTATCCAGTTATATGGATCATAACAAATTATGGATTACAATGTGAAGAATGGGAATTCAAGAACACTTAATTGTGCTTATATGGATCCTATACATAGACCAAGAAGCAATTGCTTGAACAGAAGGAAGGATCAGGGTTGCATCCTTGCACTGTATTTATTCAATCTATATGTTATTCAATCTGTATGTGGAACAAATAATCCAAGAAACTAAAATATATGAAAAAACGCAGTATCAGGATTAAAGTAAGACTCATTAATAACCTGTGATATGCAGATGACACAACCTTGCTTGCTGAAAGCAAATTAACTTGAAGCAGTTACTATGAAGATCAAAGAGTACAGCCTTCAGTATGGATTATACCTCAACATAAAGAAAACAAAAATTCTCACAACTGGACCAACAAACTACACTGTGATTAACAGAGAAATGACTGAAGTTGTCAAGGATTTCATTTTACTTGGATCTACTATCTGCTCTGGTAGCAGAGTGGTTACAAATCAGGCTACAAACCTCAAGGTTGGCAGTTCAAAATTACCAGTGGTTCCACGGGAGAAAGATGAGGCGTTCTGCTCCCATAAAGATTTACAGCTATGGAAACCCTGTGCAGGGTCACTATGAGTCGGAGCTGACTCCACAGTACTTAAAAACAACAACAAGGTTTACCAGAAGAATGAACAAATGTGCCTTGGAAGAAGTATGGACAGAATGTTCTTTAGAAGTGAGGAGGGAGAGCTTTCATCTCATTTACTGTGCACATGATAAGGCAGGAACCAGTCCCTAGAGAAGGACATCATGCTTGGTAAAGCAGAGGGCCAAGTGACAAAGAGGAAGATCCTCAAGGAAATGGACTGACACAGTGGCTGCAACAATGGACTCAAACTTAACAATAATTGTATGGATGGACAAGGTTAGGCAGTGTTTCCTTCTGCTGCTCAAAAGTTTGCTGTGAGTTGAAACCACTTCAATGGCACCTAACAACAACAAAGTTGAATTTTAATAAAAAAAAAAATAACTTAATCCTGGAAAGATATTTAAATGCTTGCAGTCTCTTAGAACATAAAGCATGTATTAAGGATTTTCTCTTCTTTCTTTTTTTTAAGTACAGCTTCATCTGTGCCAGGGAAAAAGTAACCTGCTGTGCTTGTTGGAATAGAATTAGCAATAAGAATAGAAATAGCATCTTCCTTTCTTCAAGAGCTCTGGTAACTCTTCTGGTATTTTTCAAATCCTCTTTGTTATACAGCAAAGATGAGACCCCAGAAGCATAGGACCAATCCAAGTTCTGTGGTCTGGATTGTTCCAATGAGGCTTTGACATTATAGAACTTAGCTGAGAGAAAATCCTGTCCACCCCATTTTGACAAGAGCCTCAGCCTCACACAACATCCTGATCCTTCAACTTTAACTTAAAAAGCCACCTTCAGCCATCCTTCCCTGATTTTCTCATCCTTAGCTTTAAAAACAGCCTGTCCCCTGACACAATCTTAAACCTTCCTTGATTAGGTCCATGTATCAGCAAACAGGTTTCTCAATAATCTTATGTTAGGTTGATGTCTATATTTTTGGTAAGCACAACTTGGCAAGAATACCTGGTAGTGTAATGGGTTACATGTTGGATTGCTAACCACAAGGTCAGCAGTTCAAATCTACCAGCCCCTCCACAA